TTTTCAGGAACCGTGTCAAATTGATGTATGATAAGGTACTGAAAGTTTGACGCCGCTGGCGTGACGCGTTTAGAAGTTATTGGCGAAAAACGGGAGGGGGGGCAGATTCTGCCCCCCCCGCGGGGCGCGGGTTAAAGTTAAGACATCACGACACACAAAATTTTTGACAAATGATTTTTTTGAAGTGCTAGACCTCGTACGGAAACAAAAATAGCACCATTCGATTCGCCGTGAGAAACTGCGTCAGATAGACACCTTTTTAGGTCTTAACCTTCGCCCCAGTGGGGGGGGGGGGGCATATATTACCACCCTGTCGCGTTTTTTTGCGTGTGAATAAAAAACCGCGGCGCGGCTTGCAGTAGCTTGTTATAGGTACTCAATTTTGGATAATGTGTAAAATTTTTGACCTCAGGTCATGTCAGGTCAGGTCACCAGGTCAAGTTACCTGACCAAGCCTAAAAAAGTTCTCAATCATGTCCAGCCTGCAGTGTTTGTCAGAGAGGTTTTAACCCTCGCCGGCACAGGGGGGGGGGGGTTGGTGCAACCCCCCTAAGGTTTTTCGCAAATAACTCGCGTACAAAACGCCGATCGCGACAAAACTTCTAGTACCCTCGCATTGATCAATTTTACACCTACCCTGAAAATTTCATGACCCTGACCCCAATGACCTTTGACCTGTGACCTCTTTTCCGTGACCACGTTTGGCCGAAATCGCGATTCGGCGTACTCGTATGTCGGCTCGCATTAGCCGCGCGTTTACAAGCTTATCGTGGTTTTAAACGTTCAAACATGCGATTTGATTTTGCTCCCATGCATAAGGGTGGGTGTCAAGGTCACCTGTAGGTCAGGCCAGGTCACTGACCTTTGGTGACCTCGGTTCACTTTTTCGAGTTTAACATGTTTCTAGGCTAGTTTTTGGAGCTGAATTCGAATTTAGCAACCATTTGAACATTTACGAAGTAGTTTTGGTGCCTTCGTAACATGTTACGAAGCTGTCAGAGGCGGATGACAGGTAGGCACTACGAATACCCGTCACGACCCCTACCGGTTGACCTGACCTGACCTGACCTGACCTGACCTGACCTGGTCTAAACGCTTAACGACATCATCTGTGATCAAAACTAACACGATATTCGTGATCAGCACCCCGGAAAAACCCTTAGCAGCCACGCTTTACGACTTTCTAACAGGTCCCGATATTCCCGATTTTTGTGTCATTGACCTGACCTCAGACCTGGAAGGTCAACCGATGACCTAGGACCTTAAAATCGGGTATCATTGGCTTCCTCTTGTGACGGGCAACACGCTCGTTTTTTTCCGCGAAGCTCTAGCTCCATCAGGGGCCAAACGTGAGGCCCCCCCCCCTTGTGCCGTCGAAGGACTCAAAATGACCTGTGCCGGCGAGGGTTATACTTGGTGGATTGCACGATGTTATGGGCACCTATAATTTGTATATCTCGGACTTTTTATATCCGTGACCTAAGGTCAGGCCAGTAGCATGACCTTTGCATTATAAGTCTATGGAGAAACATGAAAATGCCTCTAGATCCGTGTGTACGAATAGGAACAGTCCACATATTTCAGAATCACAATGATTTGGGCCCCCCGTGACGACCAAGGTGTATTTTTTTGCTAATAGCCTCTAAGAAGGTCATCCGAGGTCATTTGAGGCTACAAACATATTTTTGCCAATAACTCTCGATTGGAAAGAGATAGAACGCTGAAGATGGCTTCATTGTAGGGGAGAGCGGGGAGAGTTGTATCATGTCCAAGTTGTATCAGGGCGAATTGTGCCAAACTTATCCAATAGATAGCGCTCGTGACACGACCAGCCGACGAGGTTTTCCGGGCGCCATCTTTCCCTGTTCTGTCGTGTGGCTGGGTGGACGCGTTTCGAGGTGAGAGCCGATTTTATGTTTTTTTAATGTCATTCTAAAAAAATGAGTTGCAAGAAAATGTGTGTTTTGGGCATTTAGATGTGCACGAATTTGAAAGATCTCCGTAGCGGTGGTGAGGGTAGGTTCTAAGGCTGCGTGAGTGAAAATGGATTTATCCAGCTGTCCGCTGTTTTTGAGCACGAGAATGTTTTTTTCCAAGATGGCGGCGAGGTACATGTTGTATCAGAGCCGGGTGGGGTATGTTGTAACATGTATGTATGTATGGGTATGTTGCTTTTGATCGCGAAAGCTAAGCCCTGTCTCGCGTTTGTAGGTAGCTAGTCAATACTCATTCCATTTCGGCACAATGTGTTGGCTTCTTTGCTCTTAACGGGCCACTTTTGCATCTAGTCTGTTGATGTTTCGTTCGTTTCGATGTTTCGTTCGGATTGCATTGACCTAAGTTTGATCTAATAAAAGTGAGGCCTTTGAGCATATACATTGTATTAACCCCATTTAATGTTGTTGTTATGTTCAAAACCAGTAGCAAGCACACTCCCTGAAACGTGAAATACCTAGTGATACAAATTACCCCACCATGTGATACAACTCACCCAAGCCATGGGGCAAGTTGTATCAAAAACATTGTTCTATTCGGCAAACTGTAGAAGAAAAACTGGTAGAGGTAGCGGAAAAGTTACTTTGCACAAAAAAAGCAGAAGAATCAGGGAAGGAGATAGTATGGAAATAATGAGTTTATCACGGATAGTTACGAGGTTATGGGTCTCGGAGTAAAAACTGATACAACCCACCCCAGTCTCCCCTATTTGTCTTGTCGAGGCGCATCGAATGATATGCAACATGACCTATTTGGGTCACCACGTGACCTTGACCTAAGGTCAAAGTTTGACTTTGACCTTTCCAGGTAATTTTTTTTCGAAGCGTTTGAAGGAGAGAAACACGATAGTGCCTGGCAGTTGGTGCGACCCCCCTTGGCGTTTGAAAACGGAGCGTCGTAGAGCTTAGCGGAAAAGACCAACGGATTGCTCTCGCCGAGATCTCGCGATTGGTGGTATATTTTTTGGTCCTAGGTCAACATTTGACCTACTTTTGACCGGTCAAAGGTCAAATTTTCGGAAAAATTTCAACTTTCCGCGGCGATTGCGGCAAAACGGTGGGAGATATCGACTTGAAACCTTCACTATCGTGTTCCTTGATCAATTCTCTATCGTTTGGTATGTATTTCGTTTCCCTAGCTCTAAAAATGGCGCGTTGGGAGCGCCGGAAGTCGGCAAGGTCACAGTCGGCGGCAGAAATTCGAAAAATCAAAATTTAAATTTTTGAAATCTGATTGTATTTTTGGATTTAGGAGGTCCATTTGCTCCCTATAGAAGCTAATATTGCTGCATATTCCCATTGAGGTGACAAGAATTAGCAAAATAGTGGTTCGGGCGCTTTTCAAAAATAGTACCGGACGCTGTTACTCTTGTGACGTCATAGCTCCGTGACCTGACCTGACCCGGTCAAGTTTCTTATACCATATGATGGCCAATACTTGCCCTAACATGCATGGAAAGTTTCATCACGATCCATCAACCGATGTCCGTAACACCGGCAGGAAACCTCGGGCGTTGGCACTCAGTTTGTGAAAATCCGGCCGGAGGCTGTTCCCTTTGTGACGTCATAACTCCGTGACCTGACATGACCCGGTCAGATTTTTTTTTTATCAAAAGATGCGCAAGGTTTGCCCCATAAGGTACCCAAAATTTGGCGGCGCTGCGCGCCGCCGTTTTTGCACTATTTCCGAAAAGCCTCAGGGGGGGGTTGCACCAACCCCCCCCCCCTACATGGGCGAGGGTTAAGATTATGGGCATGGACAATGGACAGAAATAAAGTTGAACTGATGCAAAAGCATGAACTTATTGCGAGGCACCTCTTCAACAAAACAAAACGAAACAGAGCGTCACCGAAATAAACACACACACACACACCAGGTCCCACGCGCAGCCCCGCCGCCCCGACAGACCTTCCGACCACTACAGCTGGCCCACGCGCGCTCCACCAGCCTGCGGCCTCCCCCTTACTTTGTACGGCGGCCCGTCTGGCCAGACCGGGACGGTGCCGTTCCATGGCATATGCCGTCCCGGCCCCGGGGAGAGCTGTGGGATACCTCCCCGGGCCGGGGAGATCTAGTGGATACCTCCCCGGCGCTCCAGACGTGATACGAGCCCCAGCCCGCACCCCCGGAAAATCATATTTCCCGGGGGTGCCCCCTAACCACCGTCCGGGCGAGGGGAGCGCCGACCCGGCCTATGATGTGACCTATGATGACCTCTGGTGACACCAATATTGCTCTAAGATGAAAAATGACTGAATACTTTCAAATGTATGTACGCACTGAGAGCTATCGACTGCTTTTTACCGCGTCTTTCTAGCCTAGCCCTCTTAGTTTTTTTTAGTTAGATGTGGGTGGTAACATATGCCTCCTCCCACTATGGCGAAGGTGGCCGAGGCCGCCACTGAGGCGCGGGTTAACAACCAACTTCGAAATTTGACCTAACTTGACGTGACCTTGACCTAACCTTGACCTGAAATTCATCCAGATGTGGTCCAATATCACTTATTGAGTGTGCCTATTGAATTCTATGAATTAAATGACCCATAAAACATGTGCCGCACATACCCTTTTCTACCTATATTTCGTTTTTGGTGACCTGACCTGACCTGACCTTGACCTTGACCTTTGTATGAAATTGTACTTGCAACACATATTGTCTTGGTAGCCTAAGAACACGTTTTGGGCAATCAGTCTCACTCCATTCTTCGGCAACTACGGTGCAAGGCCGACACTTTAGAAACTTGCATTTTTACCTTGACCTGACCTTGACCTGACCTCTGAGCTACTTAAGCAGAAAAAATTGGCTCTTAAGATCCGCCTGGGTGAGAGCTTTCGATTGCCGTTTTCCCCGTCTTTCTACGACCATCGGTTCGGAAGTTAGACAGGGGGAGGGCAGAATCTGCCCCCCTCCCCTCCTCCCAGCAGGGCGCTTATGGCTGAATAGCCCAGCGGGGCGCGGGAGCTGCTTTCATAGTTCAATTGCCCAACTATGTAAACTGCGTGGACCGGCGACACCCGACTGAGCGCCTGGTCTGTCCGGAGGAAGTGCTATCTGCGGCTGGCCCGGGACTCTGCAGGGGATGCCGCTTCCTCCCGCCCCGTCCGCTCTATGTGGTCACCCAGTGGAGTGATAGTGCAGGGCGGCGGCCGTCGGTCACCGCAGTGCATGGTGGCGGCGCGATGGCGCGACACGTCTCTCACCTGATCCTGCTGCTGCTGCTGCTGCTGCTCACCGTTATCGGTAAGATCCGAGCTCCCGGCGCTCCTCACCCTCTTGGAGTAAATATATGTAAGACGGTCTGGATCACCTTATACGGTCCATTTTGATATCATTTTTAATTAGGTAAGGTTAGGTTAGGTTAGGTTGGGTAAGGTTGGGTTAGGTTAGGTTAGGTTTGCTAATACTGATGAAAAGCAAAATATACCTGCATAGGTACTTACCAATTTTGTGCTAGCACCGAAGCTACGTCAGTACGTCATCTTCACCATACGAGCATGTTTTCCAGTAAAGAAGGGGAAGCATCGGTAGAAAATGGAGCCTCGATAAGTGTGATTGGATGGCTGGTCACGAAATGACTGCAGCGTTTAATCAGTAATCACCGATGGTTCGATGTCGTGAATGTATGCATGTTGTGAAACTGTGAATATTCTATCTATCTTCTCAATGAGACATGCTAGTTGAAACAGTACTTCAATCTTTAGTTCTGCCAAATTCATGGTACAAAACAGTAAGTACTTATTCTTTCTTACATAAGGCCGTTTCACAAACGTTATAGGTATCGGCAGGTACTACATAAGGACACTATAAGGCGGGGGAGACGAAGCACATACTTGCATACATATTTCAGAAACATATGATTTGATGCATCGTGACTAATTGACGTTGACCACTGGTCACTATCAGTAAACCCCGTTTGCAGCGCGCAGCGTCTGCCAGAGTACCATAAGCCTGGGATACCAGGACCCGCCAGACTGCACGCTCCCCGGACAACGCAACATAGAAAACCGTGATGTCGGAACAAACTTCAGGTCAGCTTAATTTCATTTCTTAAGGACGGAAAAATAGGGTTTGTTTGAGTGTTTGGTGAAGATGATGGCCAATGAGGGAATTCAAGGTAGAGGAGACAAAAAGGTGGATGCGAGCTATCTGTTGGCCCATAATTCCTAATGTTGAAATGATGAGTTCAGTTTTGTTCGTTTGAGTTTGGTTCGAATAAGTTTTTAAGACGGATAATGAAAGAAATGACCAGATGCGTTCGTTGTAATATTAAATGACCGGATGTGAAAGTGTGATTTTTCCGAAACATGTATTTGTCAATACTGAATATATACCTCGGAATCCGACATTATTGCGATTAAGGGATTCACTCTGACGCACTCTGTGCTGTTGGAGGGGGCGTTTGAACGTCCCGACATGGCCCATAAGATTTTAACCCTATTCCTGGCGGGCTCCGCCGGGACAAGAAACTGGCGGGGGGGGGGGCCGATTCGGCCCCCCCCCCTGAGATCTCGAGAACGAAGCAAGATAGCGACAAGCGGTAAACGGCATCGGATACGCATGGACAAGGTCTACAATTTTTACTAAGGTCATTTTCAGGTCAGGTCAAAGATGACGTCACAGGGGTCGAAAAAGTCAAAATGGCGGCGCTAGATATGGAGAGAGTTTTTCTCGAATAACTTTCGAATTAGTCAAGATAGGAACAAACTAAGGGCATCATCGTGATCCTCTCGTCAATCCGCATCGAATGATATATATATATATATATATATATATATATATATATATATATATATATATATGTTACAGGCAAAGTGAAAACTCGGGCATTTTGCAAAATGCCTAGGCAATTTGCAAAATGCCTGACCAGCTAGGCATTTTGCAAAATGCCCAGGCAATTTGCAAAATGCCTGACCGCCAGGCATTTTGCGAAATGCCTAGGCAGTTTGGAAACTGCCTGACCCACCAGGCATTTTGCAAACTGCCTAGGCAGTTTACAAAATGCCTGGCGGGTCAGGCATTTTGCAAAATGCCTGAGTTGTGATTGATTTATTTTACCGTTTTTGTTTACCACAGGCGTTGACCATGTCGCTCTCATGTGCCTGAGCCCAAAACACATTCAATATTTACGAATTTACCCACGTCTTGCGCCACTTCCGTCGAGATGGAACCACTACTGAATGGTGTAGATTGAGCCAACGTCTCCCTATAATTTTCGTATACGGAGTTGTAGCCGTTCGTGTGTAGGAATGCTGCGATGGGGCGCGGAGCATGGCACAGAGAAACATGGGCGCGGAAAAACGCGGCGACCGGTCGAATATTGACCCGACATTCTTCGCTTCCCGTGCTTATTTACATCACGGCAAGAGAGGGCCGCAGCGACACGGGGTTGCCAGCGATCGATAGAACAGAGACAAGCGTATTGCACACCTTTGTAATAAAAAGACGCTTAGGCCTTAGAAATTACAAGTTTTACATGCAACGGGCATGTTCATCTTTACACAGTCACAATGCATTGATAATGTAGACGTGTGGCTCGCCAACCAAGCTACCATACATCGAAAGAACATTCTTTTCTGATCAATATCCACACAAAGTATTTCCAGAGTCATCAAGGCTCTTAGAAACATAACCGTGTTTAACGCGTGTTTACCGATAAAACCGCGCCGGGCGCCGCCCGGTAGCCGGCGCGGCGGCCGGGCCGCTCGCGCTGCCTGGGGCTCAGTGACCTTGAACTCGACAGCGCTACCCGGAGAATGTCTCACTGTGTGTCCTCCCACTTGGTGCGTATCGCTTGTGATTAACCCCTGTTGGCGGCACTTACAATGATGCTTACGCATCGTCGCTGGTGTGAGTTCGATGTCAGGCATTTTGCAAACTGCCTGAAAAAATAATTTCAGGCAGTTTGCAAAATGCCTGGTGGGCCAGGCAGTTTGCAAACTGCCTAGGCATTTTGCAAAATGCCTGGCCGGTCAGGCATTTTGCAAATTGCCTGGGCATTTTGCAAAATGCCTAGCCAGTCAGGCATTTTGCAAATTGCCTAGGCATTTTGCAAAATGCCCGAGTTTTCACTTTGCCTGTAACATATATATATATATATATATATATATATATATATATATATATATATATATATATATATATATATATATGTTGACCTCGAAAGGTCAAGGTCAAAGGTTGACCTCCGGTCACGTGACCTCGAGGTCATCATGTATATCATTCGATGCGTCTTGACGAGCTGAACACAATGAGACCATCCACGCGTCTGTATCTTGTTCCTGTACGGAGTTATTGGCCAAAAACCTTTGGTGACCTTTGATGACGTCACATGACCTCACAGCTGCCCAACAGCAAAACAGACCTCAAGGTAGTGAAGGTTGATCGTATATGAAGTCATGTATGGTATATGGGGCCATTCCGACCCGTTTTAGTGGTAAAAACAGCCCAGGGAGTTGATTTTTCCCCCATTGACTTATAATGGGGAGGTCGCGAAACTGACCTGACCTTAGGTCACCGATATCAAAATTCCGAGATATACAAATTGCACATACTGGTACCCTAACTAAAGCCTGAAGAGAAGAAATTGATCGGTCAAAAACTCTAGCTCTGGCGTGATTGCAAACTTTTCTGAGGTAGGGTCACCAAACCGCCTCTGGTGACCTGACCTGAGGTCAGATCAACTCAAAATTTTCAGACATGTTGCGTAGAAGCCTTATAGGAAAAGTCAGAAAATTTGAGCTTCCTAGCTCAACGCGTTTGGGAGAAATAACCAAAAAACCTCAGGGGGGGGGGCTCCTGAGGCCCCCCGCCAGGAATAGGGTTAAAGTGAGTTTGAATGTTTCGAAAACGACGGCGATAACCATGCATATTAGCTTCATAGTACATTTAGGTTTTACCTATTAGAACACCAGACCACATATGAAATTTCATAAATATAAATGATAACATTAATATGCATGTACTTAATGTAATTGGAGCGATTAAATCGTAAATTAAGAAACTTGTCAGCGATTGATAGATGATATATAAATAGATAATGACAAAGCAGTTATTACAAATCAAATATACCTACTAGAGATGTCAATCGGATACCAACTTTTTGGTATACCGATACCAAACCGATACCAACTTGGTATTTGGTATTTTGATCCTAATGTTGTTGGTATTTTGTTGGTATTTCGAATCCGGCTAATGTATAAAAGGATACGAATTCGGTAAAAACTTGGTATTTCCCTCATGTTCCCAAGTTGGTTTGGTTTCGGTATTTTTTTCATGGTTTTGGTTGGCATTTGATTTGGTATCGGTATCCTGATTTTCCGTTATTGACATCACTAATACCTACCTATTAAAAAAGAGAGAAAAACACAAAGCTTTCGGCTTAAGCAGTCTTGTTCACTGTGTCCCTACCAGTAAAACGCCTTTTGGGCGAAGAACGAGCGAGCGAGATAGTGAGCCCTGCACGCTGCACGTGCGCAAGGGCGAGAGGGTACTTCCAACGGACTTGTGCAAAGCACCCTTCTAACCGGTCGCTAGCGGTGTGCCAAATTTGAACGCAATCGGCCCAGCCGTTCCTGAGATCTGGGAGCGGCATTCTGCACGTGCGCACGTGCAAGCGGGGTCCAAACTGACTTTTGCACGGCACCCTACTAACTGGTCCTCAACCGTGTACCAAATTTGAGCGCAATCGGCCCAGCCGTTCTCGAGATCTGGGAGCGCCCCCTGTACGTGCGTACAGTCCACAGCAGAAGTAATGTGTGGTTTCAGTCATGGGTATGTTCTGCTACTGAAGCTTAGGAACGAGTAGCCAGACTACAATGAAACTTTGAATGTAGCTTATATGTATCGTCACCCTTGCAGCTGCAACTTTAGCTATTGACATCTTCTTTTCGATCACTCCGCATTAAACAATCGCCAGTCAAAGCCAACCGTTGAGCAGTGGCGGATCTAGGATTTGAGTTTAGGGGGGGCAAACATTGCGCCGCCAGGCAAGTCGGCGAGAATTTCAAACGTCCAGTCTTAGGAACAAAAAAAAAAAACGAGCTACCCCTATTTTTCTCCTCGGATTTCGGGATTTTTTTTTATTTTTTACATTTTTGTCAGTCCGGCCAAGCCAGGGCAGCGCAAAAAAATTGCAGCCCCCCTGACTCCGGGAGATAGTTAGAGAATAGCTCACCGGCGCTATGGACGGTCCGTCCTCTACCTCCCGCATCACCTCGGCAAGACCTCGTCCGAAAGGTCCGCCCGCGCCGATTCTCAAGGGCTTCTGTATCCGGAGACCGATAAGGGTCGCAGCAGCAGGTTCATGTGTAAATGCCCACGACCAAAGGCCACATCAGCGTACCTGCGATACTATACGCAGTCAGGGTTGCCACGTAGTTAAACGTATTAACAGTTGTTTCCGGTAATAGAAAATGAGATCAGTCGATTAAGAATCCCAACAAGAAATAGACGAAGAACAGCGCATTTGTTTTCGGTCCTGCATTTATTGATGCAATTACAATGAACATTCCTTAACTTTGGGACTAAACTTCGCGAGCTAGCAAAATTATTACGAGCGAGCGAGCGCAGCGAGCGAAGCGAAGTCTTTTCAATATAACGGAAAAATCTCAGCATGAGCGGCCCGGCCCGGCCCGGCCTGTAACGCTTTTGAGAGGCTTATATCTCAGCAACCGCTGGACCGATTGGCCTGCGGTCTTTTTTGCTGGGTAGCCCCATCCCTTCTACCCCGTAATTGACTACTTCTGATACATCTCAGTGACCGTCGTGGCACGTGCCACGTGAAAAGTCAAGGGTGTTCAAGCAGTTTTGCAAAAGTAGTGATTTTGAGAGGCCCATATCTCAGCAGCGGCTTGAGCGATTGTCTTGCGGTAATTTTTATAGGGTAGCTGCATCCCTTCTACCAAAGGTCGCATACTCTTGATCTATGTGAGTGCCCCCCACTGCTCGTGCAAAATACAAAAAGAAGAGGTGCCAAATTTGTTCCCATTTCAGTAGCTCGCTAATTGCTGGGGCGATTTCGCTGAAACTT